TTTTCCGGTGCATACTATTAATTTATCTTACTGCGTTGAATGTGTTCAGTTTTGTCAGACACTGGCTAGGGAATTACCCAACCCTGATCGTCATGGATATTTTAATTTGAATGCCTAGAGAAATCATCCGACTCTAGTTTTTTGGTATATCCTCGAATATGTTCTTGTAGTGCTTTTGGAGGTTAAGTACGCTCTTTTGGAAATTATTTTCGCGTTCCCTGTCCCGCCTACAATTTTGTAAAATACGACTCATCGCACTTCTATGGGTTCAATAGTCCAGTCCTGTTCCGGCGAGTTTTTACTAAGTGTGCAGCAACAAACAGGCCTGTGTATTTGCTGATTGACATCTATTCAAAAGATTTTACTGGTAACGGACGCGACTCAGCTGCACAACTCAAAGCAAGATAAAAAGGTGCGATAAAGTTTATTTTCTAGCAATATTTATATATGGTGGACTTAGTATGTTTTGAAGCCGCACAATAATTTAATATGATTATGACGTAATTGGTGCTATAACTGAGATGAATACGATTACTGTTGGTTGTTGTTTTTTAATTTAAAGTATTTTCGTGAAACGTAGATTTATTCCATCATCTATTTTCCCGGGTTACTGTGCATTCGTTTATGATAGTTTTCGCCTCGAAGTAGCACTGTTGCATAAATCGGTGTGAAATTCACGGAAGATGTGGTGGTGCGAACCCGGGTTTTGACTCTTTTATAGCAAAGGAAGTGACTCTTATCTTGTAAAGGAACGCTTTGGCACGTGGCTTTTCTTATCAACACTTTCGTAGTACTCGAATCAATCGCTGAGACATAAAAAAATGTAATTACCCACGAATACTATTCTACATGGCGCAAAATGATTTGGCGTTCGTCGCTCGCCACACCCTAGGTGTAACCCAGCAAGTTAACGTTAACGCCGCACGCTTCAGTTTCCTGAAATAGTCAATGACCGCAATGTCGTAATGTATTTACAGCTCAAAGGTAATTAATTTTAGCAACAGCTCGCACGAAAAATTTCAAACGGTTATAATTATAGGTTACTGAGATAAAGGCGAGCGATTTTCTATTTTTTTAAGGGCAGCCTTACTGAGTCCGATACCTGAGGTTGTACAATTCGCGGAACAAGTTTTTGCTTCTGTAAAATAGGATAATTTCAGCGCAGACAGATTAGTGATCGGGAGCGAGACGGCTGTATTCAGATGAGACTAATCCCTCCACCATCAATTTTTAAAGGGTAAAAACGACGTAGCCAACCTGGTCGATTGGGTCTTATAGGTGTGTTAACAGGTGTAATTAAAGTTTTATGTGAGAAAAAATGTAATGTAAATTAGCCGCCGTAAAGAGTTTCTGAGGCTGACGTTCGAGCATTACCCCTTCGTCGGAAGAGTACTTGTGTCTGCGGTTTTAGTTAAAAAATAGTGTACCCCGTTTCACGAAAATACTTTAAATTAAAAAAACAACAACCAACAGTAATCGTATTTCACGAATATTTTGTCGAGAGTGCTATTGTTTCTAATTCGTTAAGCTGTTCTAGAATCAAGTCAGAACCTTAGGCCTGCATGTATAGGTAAGGCCTGTTGCTTGTTAAGAAATCCTTACTCTCACGTAACAATTCAGTTCAATTAATAGTACCACGAGAGAATCAAACATACCTTTGCGATGGCTTAAAACTCAGCTTCAAAGATAGTTTGGTTTTTGACTCATTTCTTATGGCTGAGGTCTCCTCGTTTACCGCCAAAGGATCTGTCGTGTGCATAAACAACCCCCTTATAAAAAGCACTAAAGATCGACAGTTTCTTCGCATATCAATAGATGGGTCTAGTGGCATGTGTCAGTTGCTCTCTGTTAGGTGAAAGCAGTAAAGCAGTGTTAGATATTTGGTGCCTTTAACCAACCTTAACCTTACTAACCTACATGTAATCTCTCTGACCCGTGACCGACACGACAAACTCGATGGTGCATTGAAGTATCAAAAACTTTAAAAGTCTACTTTCTGGTTTACAACTCCAAAAAAGCTGAACCCTAGAATCTTCTGTATCTTCGCACCTTGATTTCTGCAACGCACTACTTTTTGGTCTTCCTCAATATCAACTTGATCGTTTACAGCAAGTTTAGAACGCCGCAGCTGGAGTGATTTTCCAGATTACAAAATTTGACCATACCACACCCTCTCGCATCGACCTACAATGGCTACCTGTAGTTTAGTTTAAATTGGCTCTTTTTGTTTTCGAGTTGTTAAACAATCTAAGTCCACCCTATGTTACTGTAAAGTTAGATCTTTTGTCACCGAAACCAGCCCCTAACTATGCCCTTTACTCGTCAATGCAACCTCTTATTTCTTCCAGTAGTCAACTGCTCTACACTTGGGAATTGCTCCTGTCTCATGGAACTCGTTGCCATTATCGACTAGGTCCTGTGGCAGCCTCGCCATTTATAGAAAAACAACTCAAAGCATGTCTTTTTAGGAATTCAAAGCTTTCCGATAACAAGTCTCATGGCAATTCGAATTTATACCGACATGGGCCTAACCACTTAATCACCTAATCCGACACAGTGCCACAGTTTCGTTAGAAACTTACCCCCTTTAATCGTGATTATTTTTATTTATTATGTGAACTTTGAGAACTGAGGTATATGGTGCTTCTATTTTGTGGTTGAACAAGGCATCATTAAATTAGTTCTCGATTAAATGCTCCCCGTATTTGTTTCAGATTTGGCCCTGGTAAACCCATCGTTCATAGAAAGGTTGATTTTTCTTTTTATCATGTACCCATACGCCGAGACCCAGGGGTATTGTCCAAGACGAATAAAATGTTTGTGAGTCTTCCTCTGGGACTATGATCCATCCATTGAACATTTCCATGTAGAAAATAAACCGATTTAAACAAAAGTAGGTCGCCGCAGTGATGCTAAGTTGATTGTATTAACATGTAGCTGAAGCTCGCTCACCAGAAAGTTTGGAATCCTGATCCGACATGGAAGCCTTAGGTAATCACCCCAGGGAACTAGTATTTCAGGTTCTGACCCCGCGAGTACATACGCATGGTGTTTAATCAAGAAGAGTAAGTTGCTTAGTCTCGTACTGTTATCATGCTTTTGCACCAGTTCATTTTTTCATTGATCGTTGCAGAAGTTGGTAATCCTAGAGTAGCGTGACGAATGTTTCAAGAGAATGGCGTACCTCACGCAAAAAAGTGACCACGAGTTTCCTCAAGAGGACATCCAATATCTTGCGAAGGAAGCAAGGGACTATTGTTTTTCAAGAGAAATGGTTTATAAAGACTCCAATGGTAAAGAACAACACATTCCTTTCACGCTTTACCCTTCACCTTTTCCAAAGAGGCTTTTTTCTACTGCAAGAGAAGTTCAGACGTTCTTCAACATTCTTGTGCATAAAGCCAGCCAGGACTACCAATTTACAAAGAATGCACTGTCCAGGTAAAAAATCTTCCTTGCCGGTTTTTACTTTTTGTTGGTTACCGCTGGTGGTAGTCAGTTTGAAGGTTGAGTCGTTTGATTCTTGTGCGCGTGAACGAAAGTGTCGGTTTTGCAAATTAACTGTGTGTTGCTGAGAGCTTGATTCCCAGTGATTCTTGAGAACATGGGAATATGAGAAAGGGGAAAAGGCTACTCTGAAATCAGTTAAAAGGTACAGGTTAACTTCTAAGTTTTCTAAAAGACCTACTAACCCACATAACTGGCGGTGTCATAGTGATTTGAAGCACTGAGCGGCGAAGCATACAGCAATGTACCACTCAAATTTACTCAGTGGCGGCACCACTCAAAGCCGTGAATCTGCACTTAGTGTTATTTTGATGATTTCGTACTAAATTACTTTAAGACCCATTACAAGCGTTAAGTACATCTCCTACCGATATCGCAATGATCACGGGTTCAAATCCCGTACTGGCCTGAATTTTTTCAGGCCTTTTTTCCCCTTCTGCTTAAGTAGTATTCGTTACTGCGAAGATCGCCTTACTTATCACCGTCTTAAACAAAGAAAAACTCTTCAATTCATTTGTGCATTCAAGTTTGGCCTAAGAAGAGGCCGCTCAACGGTGTAAGCAAATAAAAAGTCCTTTTCATCATATATTATCTTTATTTCCTTGTTAGCACGATATCTGCCGACCAATTTACAGCAAAGCTTTTTCAAATTTACGAAAAGGTTTGGGAGCAAGGAGCAGCTCAGGTAAGTACTGGCGATTTGTTTCGGTTCACATTGGGCAGTTGTTTATTGTCATCCCCAGTCCTCTTTCATTATCATGATCATTATTATTGCTATCTTAATCAAAACTTTGACAAAATTCTCTAACGTGGTTGGATAACAGCAGATTTGAGCACTAATGAGACATGATACAGATTATGTCTTTGTAAATGGAGAATACGCGACATTTGCACACAAATTGAATACCACCGTATTCACTCGAGTAAGCACTGCCCCGAAAAAGCGCCACAGGAACAATTCAGTTTTTCACAAGCTGTTTTACATCACACCATGGTGGATATCCTGAGGGAACTAGACTCAAACCCTTTCGAATGAACAGATTCATACGGAAAAGAGGCGTACTCTCCTACTCTGGAGCCCGTAGACTCAGACTCAAACTGAAAAGTAACGGAAGGGACAAATGGTGACAATCAAAAGAAGCCCCGCCAATCACTGTAAGATATTCGTAAAGATAGAAACTATTCCATTAAATTGAAAAAAACATGTTTTGCGTCGCGTCCAATTTTTAAAAAAGCGCCGCCTTTAAATAAGCGCCGTCCCCGAGTAGGAATCGCTTTTGAGGCGCGAAAAATTCAAAGTGCACCGCGGTGCTAATTCGAGTAAATAAGGCAGATAGTCTAGTTGTAAATGTGTTTTACAAATGGCTATTTTATCAAATTTTTCTCGTAATTTTGTTTGATTTGAAGGAAGACTTCGTGTGGTAACAATCAAAAGACACCTATTCTGGTCACTGCAACATTCTTCTACAAACAATACATACCGTTAAATTGAAAGAGAACATTTATTTGTTTCGTCTAAAATTTGAATAGGTTCATTACAATCAAACTCGAGATTGACAAATTGGGCTCCCACTGTGCGATTGTTCGATTTATGTTGTTTGATTTCTGGAATTCGCTCTTTGATATTATCTTTCTTATTATTCTCCCATATCATCACCATTATTATTAATATTATCATGATTATTATGATTTTAATCATCATTACCTTACAACTATCATTATTACTATTATCATCATTATAAAGCGGCCTATTCAAGCATTCCATTCCTTCAGTCTATTTCCTTAGGAATATTTCGATCAGACTACTTGATTGACACGACAGGCAAATTAAACAATGAATGTCACAGTCGCACCAAAACTGACGCGATGGACGAAAATAACAATGGGCTTTGCATTAAGCAAGTCGAAATCAACACCATAGCGCTAGGAGGGATTGCATTCTCTTGCCTTATTCCAGAGATGCACAGGTAAAAGAAGTTGTGTTTTAAAAATGTTATTGTTACAATTTTTTAGCCATCGAGAATTTAGACAGAATGGGGGGACTCTCAGAAGCAGTACCACATTTAAGTATATTCTGTGGCCAATTATAGATCCCAGTTTAGTCACATTCTGTTTATGCATCTATCCTATTTTTGAATCCCTTCTTATCAGAATATTCTTACCGCCAATATCCCAAAAATGTGCGTAATTCTAGTAATTCTATCAATAATGCAGTCCCATTATAGTCGATCCAGTCGTGAAAATGCCACTCCATTCAGCGGCATATCCCCATTAGCCTATCGCTAAGAAGTACGCCCCTCCCGGAAATTTAGACCCTCAAAGAAAAAGGTACGGTAAGTGGATAGAAACCATGGACTATGTGTCAAGAGTAACGACGGGTCGTCTTCAACAGAGCATCTTGACCAATGACCTCGATTTTTAATTATACGGCGGAAAATTACCTCACCCTTGAGAACATTCAAAGTTTGTTTGGATGTAATATGTTGATGTTCGCTGTTATGGGGACTTAGTAATAACACGATCTGCCATCTGTTACTTCTTAGGTATCTCCTTGAGTTAATAGAACAAAAAAGCAAGGTTAGTCAACTTTTAGACCCTTGTAGACATTCAAAGCCTTTCTTATCTAATTACAATTCCTAAGGGAGATATTCTTTCAGTTTTTAAGAAGGATCTTACATATACTGCAATCCTATCTCTTCATAAGAAATAGAGCTCTTTGCCCTATACTCCAATCAGTGTGTCTTGATGCGTATTTTTTTTCTGAGTCTTTCGAAGATGAGACATCTTTTGAAAGATCAGAGGATGTGTTTTGAGACTAGAGAGGGTCATATGCATGTTTGAAGACCACATCCCTTATTCCAGGCCTCTTCCTGATGCTAACATACTCTTTAAAATTATTGCTACGTTTACTCCCGATTTCCTAGATCTCACGGGGATCTAATAATAACCAATCCAGAGTCGCAAATGCCACTTACATAAACATTCCATGGAGCCAACCTCGTTATAGGGCCTCTTCTTTCCAACTTATTGACCGATCTAAGAATTTTTAATAGAGGGGAGGGAGGAGGTGGGTTCTCCAAACTTTGACAAGTTATGTTAATCTGAGATCTGAGATACTTCAAGTTGTGTAGTACTATCAGGTGCTAGTTTAGAGGTCTGGTGGTGAGGGGTAAGGGGATTTAGGATCCCCAGATCCACCCCTGGGATCTTCCACTGGTCCTGCAACATCTTGGAATTCTTCAAAGTAACATTATTCCCCAAAAACCAGACATCTTGAGTCTAAAAACAACTCCGGAGGGAATGCTTAAAGGGGACACTAATTGCAAAAGTGAGATCCAAACCTCTCTGTTATCGTACGAAATAAACCCAACATTCTCATTTCTCTCCGCCCCCAAAACCGCAGACCACCAGCAACGCAAGCTAAATTGACGGTGAACTTATTGTTCTGTGCATTTTGTTAAGATTCTGACTACACTATCACGAAACATTCAATGTGAAATAGTTTATTGAGGAATGGTCAGTCAGTCATCCGACAACAACAATGTGTCGTAACATATACTCATTACATATACTTATTACAACATAGAATATGCTAGCAAGTCTAACTTGAAAAGCTTGAAAAATTAAGTGTACCACGCCAGATACGAAAAACCACTAAAAAACCACTCTTTAGATGTGGCCAAAAAATATGTGGAAACGTATTCCCCATCTAATGCAGTGGCACGGAACCTCGGGGAAGAGGTACAAACAAACCCAGAACTCCATAGAAAAAATTTAACTAAATTGACAACAGCAAACAGAAAGACTGACTGAGCTAGAATGATTAATATTCCCCGCTAAAACATTAAATACTCAAAACTCTCCCCTGAGAATACTAAAACCTCTCAATCGTGCCATCAGGATAGTAATTTCTGACTAATTCGTTCCTAGTCACTCAACCGTCAGAAATTACATGTTCCTCTTAATCCAGCATTGGACGAGGCAGCAGATGGTCTCATCAAGGCCTGGGAACTATACGGATCAGAACGGTTTGGCTATTGGTTATCATTAATTCCGTTCTTTGTTTATTTTGTTTCCTGTTGAGCTTATAAACTTTCTTTGTATTTAATTTTAGCGCTGTTATTATGTTTGTTATTCAACCTGACGAGATAAACGTTTACGATCAAAAACATCTGGAATATCGTGTTCACGAAAGGTAAGCGTGTTACGTCACTTTGCTCTTTAAGTTCTTCTTTCTCAGTTTTTCGGCTGACAGTCTTCAGAAGCGAAACATCCTCCCCCCCCCCCCCCCCCCCTCCCACTCCCCATTAGACCTGTGGGGCTTTTACGACTTGTCTGAAACCAAAATTCTTACTACTAAGAATTCTCGATTAAGAAGCATTTTACTTCGCGTTACTATGTACGTTTAAACCTACGACAAAGTCAGATTTCTATTAAAAGAAAGATGACAAAGACTGCTCTCTGCTATCATGTTCGTTTCCTTGAACTCTTGGTGTTTCGACCCCTTTCTACTTCCTTTAAACGTTTTACGTCATGTAACAGAACAATAATGCACTTATAAATAATTTCTCTCTAAATTCGTTTTATGCAGAAGTAAGGGTGTAAGAGTAATTAGGCGAAGCCTTACTGATGTATTCAGGGACGGAGAAACAGACAATGCTAAATCCCTTCATTTGTGAGTATTTTTTCTTCTTCCACCTTTTTCTATTTCACCATAATTATGATTGTCTTCTTGGGTTGTTATGTTAAAATTATACGTTTGTGCTCTTCACACCTGACAGGAATGGAATGGAAATCGCTGTAGCTTACTTCAGAGCAGGCTACACGCCCAAAGACTATCCCACAGAAAACGTAAGTTCATCGCAAGAAAATATCTGTTCGTTACATTTCTTTACAGGACAAAACTGATATTTTTGATCAAATTTCTTGATCCCAGTTGTGTGGATAGCTTCAGTTTTGTTAAAGGTTAGAACGAATTTAGAAGTTGATGTGGCTAAGACGCGGAGAGAGCTTACATTTAAACATTAAACAATTGTCGTGTATGTGTTAAAAAATAGTTTGTGACTGGTGACGCGGCGTTTCATCCTGGCCAAGATACTCATCCGGCAGAGTAGAACCATCTTTCTCTTTAGTGCTGTATTTCACAAATGTTAAACTAACGATTTGGTTTTTCTTTCAATGATAGGAATGGTCAGCTCGTCTGACGATAGAGTTGTCTCGCTGCATCAAATGTCCGACTGTGGCTCATCAGTTGATGGGAACAAAGAAAATGCAGCAGGTGATGTCTAACCCTGGGGTGTTAGAAAGGTACCCAAAATAGTTATATTCTAAAGGTTGCTAAGCATTTCTTTTTTATGACAGCAAACTTTACCCTATTGGTTAGAATTTTACAGGAATGTTCCGCTAGGGAAGGGTTCCTTTTCAGACTAAAAGCAACTAAAGTGATAAGGATTTCTCGAATGGGTTTTAAGTAAAATATGTCACAGTGTAAGTAGACTAAAATTTGATCTGTATTTTACAAAATGTTTCAGTTAATTTAGAATATATTCTCTAACATGCACCTTGTCAAGACCTAAGACGGAATGAAGCCATTTTAAGATCAGTTGAAATACTGATACGCAGCAAGGTAGTAACTATCCTTTCCCTTAAACAAGACAATGTTTCATTTTCCAGGTTTTTACCTGACAAGGAATCCGTGGACAGAGTAAGAAAAACGTTTACTGGCCTCTATTCTCTTGACCCGGTAATTGAAATTGTTTTAGCGTCTTTTAAGCGCCTAGCCATGTTGGGCTACAGGAGCAACTTTCAACTGAGGGTCGAAAAACCTAAAGTAACCTCAGCGACCAATCATGAAAAAGCTTATATTGTTATTTGCCAATGAGAACTCAAAGTGAAAACAAGCAAATTGTGTTAAGCAGTTAAGCGCGGGAAAACGCGTATCATCAAGTCACGACTGTTTTAAGTTCTGTAGCTGATTGGTCGGGAGGATGGCGCGAGTTTTCTGGACCAATCACAGAAAAAAGTTAAGTGAAACTCAAGTCATCCTGGACTATCTTCGATACTCTAATAAACCCACTTCACCATGTAAACCACGCAAGAAGCTTTGCAAGTCTAAATGAGCCTGTCATGTAACTTCTTGAATGTCTTAGCTTAATCCCCTTTGTCATTCCAGGGACCTGTAGGGGATCATAATATGGAATATTGTCTTCAGAGGACGGACAGATGTGTTCTTAAGCCTCAACGAGAGGGAGGAGGTATGGGCATTGAAAACTCTTGTATCGTGTAAAGAGAACTACAACTATAATGTAACATAAAAATTCTGCTGGATCTAATTCGTGCGGTTCCTTAGTTTGTCCCTGCAACGGCGGATCCAGCATTTTTTGAAAAGGGGGGTCCAAACTTTTATTAAGGAAACACAGAATTTATTTTTCTACACAACAGCCCAAATAAGCTAAGAATTATCCCAGGACAAGTAGATGTCAAGGAATTTATATTTTGTAGCAGCTTACGATCCTTTTGTTGCAACATGCGATCTTTCTGGTGTCAGAAAATTGGTAAAAGAGCCCACAGGCGCGACGAGAAAGGGGTGGTGGTAGGGGAGGTCAAGATCTAATGGACCGTGTTGTGACAAAGGAACGTTCCCACATATTACGCCGCAAAATTTTCAACTTGTGTGCGGGAGGAAAAAAAAGAGAGGAGAGAAAGAAGAAGGAAAGTGTTAGAACTACCGAAGATTTTCCAGAGTTCTGCAACATGTCTTCGTCAAGTTTATGTTAATTTGATTATGCTTGATTCTCCCTTGTCGTTGTTCTGCTATGAAATTAGTTTCTGACATAAATTCTGGTCATCCCGTTTCGTTCAAATTTGCTCCCTGGATGCACAAGTAATTTCCATGCTGCGTAGCCGTCACAGAACTCAGAACTCCAACGTACGTTAAGAGATCTTTACGACGATTTTTCTGACAAGAAAGAACATTTTTCATGAACCTTTCTTTTCGCCTACTTCTTGAATGAACTTTTTGATACACCAAAAAGAAAATGAAAATTGGGAACATAGAAGCTTTGGGACCGATCATTATTCATCACCTGGTAGGGGGAGGGGGTGGATCGGATGATTTTGGTTGTGTTACAACAAAATTTACCTGATCCTCTCATAAGGCTCTGTAATATTCTCAAGATTCCACCTCATTTGCGGTTAATTGGCAGTCAATTCTCTACATAGCCTCCTTTTTGATACTCTACTAACGACGACTGACTTCCCACCATTCCCACCCAAAAACTGGGTGAATCCTCCCCAAAATCCCCCTCCCCCCCCCCAGGCGATACATTACAACTGGTCCTTTACTCGCTATGTACAGGAAATAACATCTATGGTGAAGATATACGTCACACGCTACTCAACGATTCTAAGAACAGGACGCAGTATATAGTGATGGATCTGATTCAGCCGGAAATGAACCGAAACGTAATAGTCCGTGAAGAATACACAAACGTGCATACTGTTGATGTCATTCCGGAACTTGGAATTGTCGGCATTTTTCTCAGGTAGGACTGAATAGCAGGTATCACCCTCAGTGGGAAAAGCACAGTCCCCATAGAACCAGTGTCATGAGGGGGAACTGGTAACCAACGATGTAAGGAAAAAGTCTCACCGTGCGGTGTGTCCCCTTGTTTTGATTACCGCTGGCGCTGTGATTCCTCAAGTTTTGGTGTTACAACAGAATTGCTCCACATCTCTAAGTTTAAGCGCAATTCCTGGCGCGTCTAAAAGTCACAAGTCTTAACCTAATAAAATTATAGCGTGTAAAGATCCTGAATTGGTTGAGAAACCCGCCTTTTTCCTTTGTTGGTACTTGGTTTAATTAAGATTTTTGACCTGATCGTTCACAATGCTTAGAAGCATTCCGATCACTTAGAAGTTACTGACCCAAAGAGCTTAAATTCATTGAATTTTTCATTCGCAATGTTTGAACTCAAACAGAATATTATGAATAGTCATGGAGCTCTCAACTTATTTTTACCAAAACATTATAAACTTTATCTACGAATTTTGCCGGCTTTCCTTGCTTTCTCACTCCTACTGAAGATGTTGGAATGTAATTTTATCATAGCCGAGGAGATGAAGTACTTGTCAACAAAGAAGGAGGGTACCTGATCAGAACAAAAGCAGCCACTCAGGGGGATGGTGGAGTGTACGCTGGAAGAGCTGCTTTTGATAGCCCATATATGGTATAGCTCATTTGGACCGCATCAGAAGCCACACAAAGGCGGTTGTCAGCAGTACTGTCATTTCTTGAAGGTGTCACACTCCTTGCTTTCGTGGTGAAGTTAGCTAGAGGAGAAGTTCATGCCACTTTGCATCGAGGCGTGAAGTCATCGATTTTCACTTTACCGTGGAATGGCGTCGTTCGTCATGATGGACAAGGCTTCTCGTCAGAACGTTGTAGCAGCTTAAAGACACATCTACTGTGCATTTTTAAAGTTAATACAATGGAAAATTTTATCTGTCTCTTTTCCAGGGTTAACATCTCTATTTCTAAAATAATTCAAACAGTACGAGCGCTCTGATTGGCCATAGAACCATTTTACATGAGCGTATGTAAACACGGTTTTCGTTCCTCTTTCATTAGTTATTTTATAAAAGAAATGTAAAATGGTTTCCCTGTCTACATAGCCTGATGTAAACACTTGGGAGGTTGGGAGAACACTCGATAAGCTGGAAACCACTCCGATCAGAGCCCCCTCCCAAGGGACTGTTTGGTGATTTCATGGTGGACTTTGGGAGACATCAGGTGAAACAATCATTTCTGAATAAATCCCAGATATTCACTTGCACTTTAATGAGAATGGCAGGGTGTGGTGTAATCTCCCACAAGTCTCTAGCCACCAAAACAATCATTTATTCTTCATTGAACTCTGAAATTTTTGGGAGGTATTTACATTCGACCCATTCAGAGTTTCTTGTAATCACAAAGAGCTTCAGTTGCACAAACCTCTTAACCTTAGTCTTAGAGATAATGAACATAAAAGAAAGTCAAACAATGAACAGAGCTACATTGTATGCTCTTCAAACAGAGGACCTTGATGACAAAACGTGTTAAAATATCAAACTTTGTGTGACTATGGTGAATAACTAAGGCTTATTTCTTATCTACAGGGACTGTATTACAAAGTTTAGTGTCAACTCAGTTGAATAAAACGTTAAAATTCCCCACTTTCAAAAGAGATAGAACAATTGTCCTACAAATGAAATGCAAGAAAAAAACAAAAAACAGATACAAAAGGAAATATGACATGATGATATTTGTGAACTTGGTTCAGCTACATCACAAACAAACCAACCTTCATGCAATATCAAGTTGCATTTAAAATTGTGCAAAATGAGCATGTCATGAAAGGGTGGTCTCTTGAAGGAAATACTAAGAAAATCGAGACTGGTGCATAATGAAAAAAGGTGGACTAGCGATGAGATCATGACCAGCCAATAAAATTCAAGGATTTAAGATTCCTGCCTGCTGAGTTGCTTCAGAAAAAAAATTAGGGCTCTAAGACATCTATCTAGTTAAAACATTGCACCTAATGAACTGCTAACAGCATATTTATGCAAATTTCACAGATATTGTAAAATGGTCTCCTCAAGTCACACTTGGCCATTCAAGTTCTGTCTGTCAAAATCAAATCAACCTTGACAAGGAGCTGTCACCCTCAAGTTCTCGGTAAATTCTGCGCTGTCGACAATACAGCACTGTCATTATGACAGTTGTAAGGAAGAACACAATGGCAAATCCTGTAGCCACCCACTTGCCTCGGTCTGATTTCTTGCCACCATGTCCTGAAAAAATGAGCACAAATAAAATCATCACTATTAAACCCTCTAGCTGCCAATATCTGAATCATTGAGTAATTCTCCCCTGATAATGCTACACATTCCTTTGCTGGTTAACCAAATAAATCATCTGGCTCCAGTTGTTCGAAAGGTGGATGATGCTATATCTACTGGATAAATCTCTATCTGTTGGACTGCACATTATGTTTTGTTTGCACTTATCCAGTGGATAATGATTTATCTGGTGGATAGCATTATCCAAACTTCAAACAACTGAGACCTGGCCAATAGTTTTCATGATCCTCTTCATCAACATAATAAAGAAGGTATTTGAAGCTAGTTTTTATTGAGTGCTGAAAGAAATCTAGGATTGTTTTGTTTTTGCTTTACTTTGCAGTGAATTTTCCCCAAAACACACACTATGGTCTCAACCAATCAGATTCAAAACTATAACCAATTCTACCTTAGTAACTTGTGTTTTTCAGCACTTTAGGCATTTTGCAAGTTTTTTGTTCTGAAATCTATTTGGCTCCCTGTTTGACCATTGTGATTACTTTGGTTTGAGTTTAACAACACTCAATTGAAACGTGCCCTAAATTAAATGGACAACTTACACATTGATTACTTAGTGATGTCAGTAGATTAATCATTTACAGGATTCATGTATTAATAACCAATTCAAAAAGTTTGGGGAATAAGAATTTGAACCACAAAATTCTACTTAAGAGAGGAAGAGGTTCAAATTCACTGGTGAAATTTCACATTGCAGTGAGGCAAACTTTATTATATTTCCTTTTCAATTACAGAGTTTCTAGACCAAACTTCTCCATAATTGCAATAAGGAAATTAATGGTTTCGAAGAATGGTTGACTGGTCCCAAGTTCAATAAACAATTATTAATACCTTTTGGTGTTGGAGTAACATTTGGATTTGAACTGTGATTTCCAGGTTTGCTTGAAGGAACTTTTGTTACTGTGGTTGGTCTTGTTGTGGAATTTCTTGGTGCAGCAGTGGAATTTCCTGGTGCAGCTGTGGAATTTCCTGGTGCAGCTGTGGAATTTCCTGGTGCAGCTGTGGAATTTCCTGGTGCAGCTGTGGAATTTCCTGGTGCAGCTGTGGAATTTCCTGGTGTGGCTGTGGTGTTTGGTGCAAGGGTTACATTAGGTGTTTTTGAAGGGGCTGCAGTGCTTTTGGTTTGGGGTTTGGAGGTACCATTAGGTCCAGCACTATGTGCAGTTCCATTATTAATACCTGTAGAAGCAGGGCTTTTTGATGAAGGATTCTCACCACATGCTGTAAGTAAAACAATACATTGGTTTTTATGTCATAAATAACATGTTCTCACTGAATGCAAAATACCATGTTTTACCACTACCATAATTTCTGGCCAATTACTTGCAGGTAATCTGTTAATTTCTCCACAAACAGTAGTTGGTGCGGGTTATAGGAAGGTGTGGGTAATATGGAAATTTTTAAAGCTTCCGGTATAGTTTTAAAACTACATGAAGGAAATAACAGAGATGGTAAGATACTCTAAAAATACTTTTCAAAAGACCTGTACAATAACTCATTTGTTTTGTGCAGACTTGCTTATACGTAAAATCGAGCAGAGACGTCGGCGAGTTGGTCTGCAATCCAGTACAACTTATTAGAAGATAGACATATAGAAAAGTAAAAGATATTTAGTGAAAAAACAATTTTGCTTTCTTCCAACAAAGTCTATAAGGATCTCATGGCGAATAAAGCAAGGTAAACATGGCCAATGAATATAAAAGCTTCAGATGCGAATTATGACTCGTTCGGATCTGAAGCTTTTATATTCAGTTGTACTGGATTGAAGACCAACTCGCCTACATCTCTACTCAATTTTATATGTTGGCGAGTTGGTGTTGGCAAGTTGAACCATCGGCGACTTGACCGTAATTCATGCAGACTGCTCATTATATTTAGAGAATTATATCCTCTCGATGAAAGCTGATGCAAATCGAAAACATACAAAACTCGATAGCAAAGCTTTTATCTTGTTTGTACTCTTACTTTCTTACCTTGTCAATTTCACAGCTTGTTTCTTTGTTAAGTTCAAAAAACAGTTCTCACATACACGGGTAGTGAACTCCAAAATAAAAGAATTTAATTGTGAAAAAGCTTGCTTCATAGCAATCCACACTGAAAATGATGCTGACATGTTCATTTTGTGGCACTGCATAATAAATGCACGACAGAAGTTTTGATGCATCAGTGAAATTTTCTTAACTAGTGCTGCCTTGAGTTAAAGAGTATTTTCTCATTTCAAGCAATTTCTTCGACTCATGGATCTTGAGGTATCGTTTTTTTTTCCGAGAACAGATTTTTACAAGTGGTATCATTCTTAATGAAACAGTGAAGACAAAAAGGGTGAAAATTTATTAATTCCATGCTAAAGGATATCATGTCAACAAAACAATGAAGGAACTTTGAGTGAGTCAATGATTTTCTTTTGTTTTTGGGTGTGGGCTATCTGCGGGTAATCTGTTGAAAATTTTTTCTTGTTATTGCAAAAATTGACTGATGTGGGTAATCTGTCATGTGGGTAAATGGATGGAAATTACAGTAACTACATCAATTTAATTTATACCACATACCAAATGTAAGTTTTGACCACTTTGACATTTTAAACCATGCACTCTCTGAATTTTAAAGCTCATTTTCCTTACTCAACACCTTACAGTAGTTGATAGTTTTTTAATTTCTCTTCACTTCTTTTGTTTGAAGATGTATTGAAATTGTTAGAAATTAAATTTTTATCCCTCAGAGGGTTACAGGATTTTTATCTCTCATGAATTGTCAATTTTTTTCAAACAAGTTCTGATAAATTTCACACCACATTGACACAAAAGTAGAAAACTCTTTTATGCAGCTAAAAGGTTTAAAAGAATGTTTAGAAATACCATAACACTCTGCTATGAAATTCTAAACTATCAAAGAGAAAGTCAAGTATTCTTTACAAGTGAGAATACTGCTATTTTCCACCAGTTGCCCAGTAAACATAAAAATTCTTTTAAAAATTTGATAACAAGGAAATATGTTGATTACTCACTAGAAAGGAGAGCTGGTTTTGGGCTGAGGCAAAAAACATTTAACTTTACCACAGTATACTCTGTTCAGTTCATTTAAAAATTCCCCTCTAAATGAGGGATTGAGGGAACACTTCAGCCTACTGCAATAATAGCATTGCTTCATGCATCAGTGACAGCTGCAGCAAAAGTTGCTTTATGTCCAACACATGCAATGGTCTTAATATTACAGCTGTAAGCTAATATCAAACTTGTGTTGGTATGAATATTGTGTTACACTTTGTATTTCATGCTTCGATGCATTCTGTTTTTTTTTCATTACTTTGTGTTACTACATCATACTTGGACATCCTTGCATGCTTAGAGTTCAAAAGCTATTGTCGAATACTTGAGCAATAGACCGCACTCTTTATCTATTTCTACTTTCTTTCAAGAACAACAGAAAGGTCTGTAAGTCATGAGGCGCAGGCGAGTGATTTTGACTTTGGCTTTTGGTCAATAAAATCCTGAAAATTAACGACCATGTGGTTATCACGCACACTACAATAGATGCACAAATCGGAGATCAGTTTCGGACCTCTGCGACGGCGATCATCTAATGAAATTTACCAGAAATAGCAAATCGTATACGAAATGTTTCCCGAAGCTTGCAAGCAGCTAGTAGCTTAGTATCGGGTTACTGGTAGATGTGCATCGTCGTCACGAGATCTTGCGCTTATCTCAATTTAATGTAATTGATAACAAACTAAATAGTGAATGAAATAAAGGTGTTGTCGGACTTCTTCTTCATTTTCGTTTGTAGTAGTACACTTTTGATTTTATCTTTTGTTTACTCATTTACGAAGAGAAAAATATTTCATCCTTGATGGAATATTGTCTATCCGTAATAATGACTTTGTCTTTACTTTTTCCGTGTCGAGTCTTCGTCTCTTTACACTGAGTTCCGCGGCTTTTACGCAACTTTGTTGTTCCTTCCACATTTTAACGCCAATTGTGATCAAAATTTGGACAAGCTCACGGCAAAATGAAATCTATTTGTCAAAAATTGACGGCGATTTGTTGCATCATTCGGATCGGCACAAATTGCGAGCGGTTTGCTTTTCATTGAAATCGTCTGCTGACGGTCAGCTATCTAAAGCATTAAGAACAGATAGAAAGATATCAAAGAATATCAGACTTACCGATGCCGCAAAGTGCCAGCAGTATTAGGACTACACCAGTATATGTCATTGTAATGCACTCGCTGGATAACAACTATAGATAGCGCAGCGAAACGGTGGTCAACTTGTGTTATTGGTCACATGACCCACGGTTTTTTACTTCCCGGAGCCCAGTTCCTCCAAGGCTAGGCCAGTCGCATTCAAATCTCGCCCTTCTCTAGCTTTTCTTTCTTTCGTTCTTTTTTCTTTCTTTTTCTT